CGGAGTTTGTCCACAGTCGCACGAGTCCATGCCGGTACCTCTTGCCTCAAACGAAGGAACTCCTCATCGATCTGGTCCAATCTGTTGGTGACGAAATCAACTATCGGAAGTTCTGAGGTTGGACATGGACAGGAATCCGGCGAGCGAACTCTAGCAGACATCTGCTTGGAGTACGATGACAAGATGTTAAAGACATGTCTCACGGGCTCACGAGACTTGTTGGCAGCCCAGACGAAAAACCAGAACATGGGATCCTGCATGCACTCAAGGCTGCCCCTCACCCACTTGGACACACGTTGGCGGTACTCTTGCGCTTCCTCCATGCCCAGCTCGTCGTCGCAGTCTGCGATGGCTGCCTGCGCAGCCTCTGGCTGGCCTTGCTGGTTCATTTTCTCATTGTACGACCGCGTTGCAAACGTGGCCAGGAACACACGCACAATGAAATCAGGTGGACCAGTCAACAAAAACTCTTCGGAACCTCAGCTCAGGATATCGAGGACTTTCTGACTATATCTGGCTGATAATTGACAATTACACACTATACTCAAACAACCTGCAAGTGCAGCTGCAGGACCGTCAATTGAGCCCCACCTTCCTGCCACTGCAAGTGGTGGTACATGACATGAAGCTTTATACTCCCATGCGTGTGGCACAAGGGCCTGCCAAACCTTGCTCAGCTTTACTCCATGTGCCCGCCACGTGTGGCAGATTTTCGCGACTGATCCAAAATACCCATACTTGCGGTCATGTGCGAGGAGGAGCTTGTTGATGAGGCGTGTGAGGTCACGACATAGGAGATGCAGCTGGTGTTTCAAACATGGTTGCTCAAATATGAACTGATTGGAGTACCTAGGGCCATCCATCAATGTCCGAAGTGAGGATCGCAAGCTGGTCTGATCGGTGCCGCAGTCCCCCGCAAGTGACCAGATGTGAATGTAGCACGCAGGAAGAGAACCATTCCTGAAACTTTATGTTGACTGCTATCGATTGCTTCTGAAACAATATGTCTGAAATCGAGATCGAACATGAATCGTCTACAGACTACAGATAATTTGCAGTGTACACTGCACATGCCAGAAGCTCAAAGACTCAAGATCAGTTGTGAATGTTGCACAACGCACTCAGTTTGAACTCATGCTGCATGTCGACAATGTGCACTGCACTGGCTCGACTCAACGACACTCAAGGCATCCAAACAAACTCCAAGATCACTTGCAAACTGCACACCGCTCGCACTCACGATACATGCTGACATGCTGAGCTGAGCAGACGGTCCAAGGATCAAACTGCACTGCAAGCACACACTCTCGCAATCCCAGGCTGCACAGCACTGATCTACACTGCACATGCTCGGTGATGCTCAAAGACTCAAAGACTCAAAGATGCAAAAACTCGCAGACCAAAGCTTGACACATGCACTCATCTCAAAGTCATGCTGCATGCGGACCACAATGCGCATGCAGAGGCTGCAAAAGCAAATCAACAAAGTACGTTGGCATGGTTCAACAACTCACGACAGAGTATAGAGTTATAACTTATAACCATAACCAGAATCATTCTGCCGACAAAGCATCTCCCACATGGTTGCAATCTCGTCCCAGTTTGCACACTTGGCTGTGCGCAACTGCTTAAGCACTATGGCCATGTTGTTTGCCGCCGTGCCAGTAGAAACAACTTGCAAATCACACCTCAGATCAACATATGGGCATGTGCGACATTGACATATGGGTTTAATTAAATAATTAAATAAATATAAATATAAATATAAATATAAATAGAAATAGAAATAGAAATATAAATATAAATATAAATATAAATATAGATATAAATAAATA